TACGCCCGCTTGTGCCTTCACACTACTGGGTCTTTTCACCTGCCCCACCTGCTCCACCTGCACCGAGAGTTTTGTTTTGTATTTCTTCCAACATTTTCAGAACGGCGTGCTGCACGGCGACCCCCAAGTTGTCTTCTTCCTTCAGTTCTGGAATGCGCACGGAGATGACGGTGCGGATCACCTCCGCATCATAGTAGATACGGCGACATGCGGACTGGTAATTGAACAGCATTGACATGACTTCCTCTGGCACCTTCTCAGCATTGTCGCATGTATATTTTGTACCCTGTATACTAGCGCACTGTGAACCCGCCTGTTCTGCAATTTTCGCCACTTGACTGACCAAATTTGTGGCCCACCGCTCCACAACTCCACAACTCTCTTCTTCTGGAAAGGCATCGCGCAGATCCTGGGCATGAACGAGGCGTTTTGGGGGCATTTTTCTTTTTTCCTTTTTCTTTCTTTTTTTTGTATGTGTGTTGATTGCTTTAAAAGAGAAAAAAAAAGAAAAAAACAAAAACAAAGAAAAAAACAACCAATAAAAATTAAATGAACCGTAAAGGCTTCAAAAAAAGAAAATATATATTTTGTTAAATAGTGCTCCTCCCGCTCTTCACTCCCCCTTGTGTTTTGGTGGTCACTGCCCGGTAGACCCTTCGTGTGAAATGTATCCGTGCACGCATGTGTATTTATACATGCATGCGATAGGAGGGAAGAGTAAAGAAGAATGGGAGTAAAGGCAACGTAGACAAAATTACAAGCATTAGAAAGTAAGGACGCATATATGGGCGGCAATACAAATGAAAAAAAGAGGGTGAGCAGAAAAAGAAAAAATAACAACAAGAAAGAAGAAGAAGACACCCTGCTGTTCATCACTGAAACTCATCGTGTTCTGGTGAATAACGACCGACGTTGACGTTTCCTTCGCAGGGAATTCACACGCCCAAGACGGCCTTGCGGCACCGTCGCCGTCACCTCCGCCGGGTCTTCCTGCACCCACTCCATCATCACCATCTCCGACCGGGACGTCCTTGCCGTCGTGTCTGTGACTTCTACTTCTTCATGTTGTTTTTCCTCCACCTCTTCCTCTCCCTCCCCTTCTTCTTCTTCCTTTGCCTCCTTTGGTTGTCGCGGCTGAAAGCGACCAATGGAATGGGCTTGGCACGTAAATTCTACCGGACTCGGGCTGCGTCTCGCAAAGACGTACACAGGCAGCCGCGGGGGAACGATGGTAAATCGTGGTGCCGGTGGTGGCTCTTCTTCATCACCGCACGACGCATGAATGGAATTGGCGGCGAAAGGACTTTTCACTTCCGGTGTCTTGGAGACACGAGTACTGCCACCCCGCAGAGGCGATGGCACTAGTCGCTGCTGCAGCGGTGACACAACATCCCCAACGATATCAACGCCTTCTTCAACTTGGTCTTGTTGCATGTTCTCCCAGGGGTATTTGGGTGGTGGCGTAAAGGAATCACCATTCCTCCGTGCGAGACATGCGAGCCCCACGCTGGGTTCTGCACGCTGAACTGGACTCTTTGATCCTTTTACAAAATCTATTTTCACTTCATCCTCATGCACATTATAACTGCCGTACTCGTGATTCAAGCTACCCCCAAGACGCTCATGTTCGACAACGAGGGGTGGATTTCTCCTTGGCGCGGCCCCAGCAGAAATTGTTGTGGATGCTGCGGCTGTTTTTGCCTTACCGAAACGCTGAAGGACGTCGGGTGGCACATGCTGCGGTCGATACCGCGCAATTCGCACCCCGTTCACCTCCACGAACACTGGAAAAACACATGCACGTTCGCAGACTTCAAATGCGTGCGACGATGTGGATAATTCCACCGCCGCTTTCGCCATTTTTTTTGTGCTCGTGCTGCCAAACAGAGCACGAGCGGTGGGCATCATTTCCACTTTGGAATTCCCATGGATAGCGTTCATGTCTTCTGGTTTCCCTTCGCCCTTCGTTGCGTCATCATGTCTCGCTGCATCCTCTGGCTGCAGTGGTTGAAGTACGCCACCCTCCTCATCAAAGGGATTTTCTAGGAACGCCACAACATCATTTTCGCACAGACGGTAACTCTCGCCAGAGAGCAGAGGCCTGTCATTCACATACAGCGGGTTGGATCCAAAATGAATCAAACAGTAATATGGCCCTTTAAAGGAAGTTGAGTCGTCCTTCACACCAATCTTTATGGTCTCTTCGTCTTTCACAGTGACGGTGTCACACTTGGGACTCGCTGCGTGTCCTCGCCTCGTAGAAGGATATCTTGACAAGAGCTGCTTGTGTGTTGCGGCATCTCCCACGTAAACGACACGACAGTGCAACCGACTCACGCAGGTGTGACGCAATCGGAACGCCCTTGGCAGACACGTATGTCGGCCCAAAGCGACATGCGGGATTTTCTGAAGCCAATTACGTGAGGTGATCACACGACGACGGGCAGTGGGCGGCTGCTTCTTTTTCCCTCTCGACCGTCTCGTTTTATTCTCATCGCATGGATCGTGCGATGTGCGCTCCGGTTCCGTGTGGTCCGTCGCTATGTGGCGTTCCTCGTCTTCGTCGTGCCAGTGCGTGTAGAACGACTTCAGCAACGACGGCTGCGGTTCGACAGGAAGAAGAAGATCATCGTTGCGTTGGCACCCATTGATGACTTTAAGCCGCCACATAGGCACAATGGCACCTCTATGCATTCTCTTCCCCCCTCCTTCCTCAGCTCTCCCCATGACCATTAAACTATATATATATATGTATGGATACACACAGAAAAAAAAAAAAAAAAAGGAGATAAAAAGGCAAGAGAGTTTTATTTCCGGAATTTGAAAGATTCTATTACATTCATAAGAGACATAAAATTCTCTCCCATTTCACTTCATATGATATATGCATTGTATGCGTGTCAGCAAGCACGCGTATGTAACCCTTTCAGAAAGAGTGGGAAGGGAAAGGGGGAGGATACTCATCTACAGCCATTTTCCTCCACTGCAAATATAAATATAATGCACAGGCACATAACTCTTTCCCTGCTAACTATCGCGGTGGACGAGCCCATTGGTCATTAGCCAATGCTGCAGGTAGGGGGCGTCTGTCAGTAGCGTAAATTTCCTGAAGTCTTTCCTCTTCAAGCAACTCAAATAACCCACGCAGGCGTTTTCGTGGCGCACGCCGCTGCTCCATCGGCGCATCATCCTCGTCGTTGTCATCCCTGTAGAAAGTGGAATCTTCTTCCGTCACCAAATTTTCACGCGTTGCCGTCTGCTCCACGTCACGTTTATGCAACACAAGCAGCTGTAGAAAAACACTAAAAACCAATAACAAGACAATGAGCTTAGGCACACGGGCGTATTTAGCGTCCAATGTGGGGGCACACTTTGGGCATTTGCACCAAAATCGATAACGATCATGTATAACGTATTGACGGTTGTCAAAAGACCATTCGGGTGGAACGTAACTGATAAGAATTTCCGATCCAGCGGGAATGTTGGCGGTGGCACGGCAACAAAACAAATATTGCACCGGAGCCCCAACTGTTAGTTCACGAGACGCCGTGGATTTGTTTCCATCCTCTCCGTTTTCTTTCTCTTCCACACGATTGCTTGGATGTGTCCCTCTGGAGGGAGAGAACTTTTCATCCATGACAACTGTTTCATCTTTTTCTTCGATTGCTGCTGCCGACAATGTTGGGTCCGTGGCGTCTGAGGCTTCTGCTTGCAAGACTTCGTCCAAGTAATACTCCGACTCATGGAACGTGTGCTCCGGTATCACGTCGTACGTCGCATTCGGTGCGCAGCTGTGATTTAAGAAACCCGCCTCCGGGAAATACGCCATACCCTTCCGCACCGCGTAGGAGGACTCCACAAGAAAACTGTTCATGTCGATGATGGCGGCAATGCGTGCAATGTGAATTTCATGCAGCTCCAGTGCATGTAAAACCTCAACACCGCCAATACGCTCCAAGACACGTTCTGTGGCAGATTTCGGCCAAAACTCCAGTAACGAAGAGGGCTGGCCGGTAAGGACCCAATCATGTAAATAGTCCAAATCCGCCTCGGTACCCTCATAAACAGTGAGGAGGACATCACCGCACATTTCCACCAGACGCTCCACCTCCCCTTTCACGCCAAGGTTGCAGGCCGTGTTTCGCACAATCATAATGCTTTCCCCTGCGGCAATATCCCTCGTAGCGAAGACACCCCGACCCGTGAGACTGAAGCTGTTCTTCACCACCGCATCCTGAAGCACTTTACCGTTCTTTTCTGGGAGACGTTGCTGCATCACGGAACGATGCCGCAGACCACGAAAGCTGTGTGGAAGCGCCTTAGCCACATGCTCATCGTCGAAGCCAACCTCACCGCTCCCCACGACACCGAGTTGACCATCACCGTGTTGAATAAAGGGCCCTATAGGTGTGTTCTTCACCCACGGGTGATTTTTAGGCAACGGAAGCTGCACAAACTGATCCCGTCGCGCAAAGACGGGGTAATCAGGATCCGTGGCGACCACCACGATAGACTGATGCCTTTTGATGCGACGAAATTCCGGTGTCATGTCATCCGGGTGCGTGGGGTACGGAATAGCGACATTGCGCTCCAACTGCGCCTCCGCCACTTCAAGCTGTTTCTCGCGAAGAAATGCCTGCACTTCATCCACCGCCTGGTCGACACGGCCAATTTCCGCCTGCCCATCCAGCGCCTCATCGACCACGGCGGCGCTCTCCGTCGACGATCCCTTTGCTTCCTTTCGATACACCTCCTCATCGGGGCGGGGACGATCCATATCCACCACTTCCTCCCCAGGGTGGTCATCAATTGCCGCACGCACCCTCGGATACCACGCCGTCCTCGCCTTGCCAATACCCCACTCCTTCCCAAATTTCTTGGCGCTGTCTAAATTCCCGCGTTCATGTGCACTTCGATATCGACTCGGTGTGACGGTGGTAACGGACACCACACCAATGGCATCGGCAGTCAGCCGGCAAAGCGAGCCTCGTCTCGTGCATCGCAGGCACAAACGAGGCATCCCACGCATGCCAAATCTGCCGTCAGACCAATAGTCTTTCTCCACCTCTCGTTTTATATCCGCCCCACCACGGAGACGTCATGACACGCAAGAAGAGAAGGAACAAATGACAGCACATCGGATACACGCGGAAGGGAAAGAAAGACCAAAGTCAGCTTAGACACACGGACACACACAAATATATATAAAACGAAAACACACACACAAAAATAATAATAATAATAATAATAATAAACTACAATACACAAATAATAATAATTATTAAAACTGATGTGAATAAAAGGGGACGGTGGGCATCTTCTTTTTTTTTTTTTTTCCCTCTCAATTTCACAGGAGGCTCACCTCTTCCCCGTTACTCTCCGTCTGCAGCAACACATTCTGCAGCAATTCCAACTGCCTCACCATCAACTCCTTTGCGGAGCAAGGGCGACCCATGCGAAATGTCAACTCACGCCGATTCCGGTTCCCTCCACTCCCCACATCACCGTAGACAGAGCCCCACTCCACTCGATGCCACACAGGCACACCGCCGTGTTTCCTCCAGGCATGCAGTTGCTCATACGTCGCGTCATAACCTTTGACGCAATCATCCGCCTTGTTATTTTTAACAACGTTGTGCGTAACAGGAAATTGTCGTTGTTTTACATTTGTATACACCTCATGCAACGTGCGTCTCGTTCTAACATCCCTCCGTGCCACCGCATCACTCACAAAAAGTACACGCGGCATACCGGTAGAAACAACCGGAAAAAATCGCGGAGTATGAACATCTGTGGTAGCCAACACATGGTCACTATTACTATCGTCTTGCATTCCACCTCCACAGGTCAGACGCGATGCAAGCGGGTAACCAAAGGATGATTGCACAACCGGCCTTCTATTCTCCTCTTCTTTTCTTACCACCAAAATCGGGTCACGTAGCTCCTGCTGCATTTGTTGCCGGCGTCCGCGCCAGTGAACCTCAAAAGGCACGACATCACATGGTAATAGCCATCGCACACGTATGTTTGTCAGAAGCGGGTTTGTCGGACATGCCCAGAAGCCCACCACCTCAATCCAATGTTGTGGACTGAACACGATATATTCCTCGTCTTCCCTCGTCACCTCGTTAACATCACCATCAGGAGGAGGCAATGTGTTTTCCAACGTCATGGTGACAGGAATACGAAGACGGCGCATCATCCACCGTGAGACAATATGAAGCCCATGTCTTCGAACCCGCTCCACGGCCTCACAATGTACTCGCCTCAAGACGGGATCAATCAGACAGAAGCAGAGCACATAGAGACTGAAGCAAAGCTGGCAGGTAATTATCTGCCCCACTGTTAAAGCCTCATCTCTAAAGTTCAATAGAGTGCAATTTGCCGTCTCCACCTCATCAAGATCCCGCAGTACCGTCTGCTTCTCCGACGCTGATTGAGCACGTATGGATAAATTATAAAACGCCTCCCTCAGCTTTTGCAGTTCACAGTAAATGTAAAGACGCTCCCGGTTAGTGGCGTCTGTGCCGCCGTCACGCAGTTTTTGTACCATATGATGCAGTATGGCGTAGCGTTGCATAACGGACTGCCATTTCAACTTCTCCGCCTCAATCGCCGTCTCAATTTCAGACCGCGTTGTGTGGCGAGGGGTGTAGAAATGGTAGTAAAAGGCGTAATACCCGCCGCCGAGAAGTGCAGCCCCACCAAACCACACCGGCAGACGCGGCATTTCATTCTCCATTATGTTGTGGACATTCAAAGCCGCCAGAAGAGAGAGAGAGAGAGAGAAAAAAAAAAGAAAAGAAAAGAGAGAGAGGGAGTATGCGTATGTGTATGGAATGGCGCCGAACAGGAGGCACGCCTCCACCCTGTTAAATGGTTTCATCCCACCGCCTCCCTCAGAAATACATGTATTCTCCATATATTTCTCTTCAGCCGTCTACACATGTCTACACCGCTGCCATCGTTTGTAAATTACAAACGCCGTGACAGCCCATGGTAGCACTCGTGTGAAAGTGAAAAATCCAACATTCACCCATGATGCAGTGTAAGTGGCGCCATACTCTGGGTAAGTCTCCTTTGGAAGACTATTTTGCTGCTGAATGTGCATCAATAGACCTTTATGATCTGAGGCCTCAAAGTGCTCATTAAATGTTACATATCCATGCATTGGTAACAACATATTCTGCCGCCATAAAGACAAAGAAGACGCGGTTTCTGCAGTGATGGATCCACTCATTTTCAGCGCATTAAGGGCCTCCTCGGTGAGTGAGGGTGGCGCAACCGTCAGATTGCTTAGCAGCAGCCAATCCAACTTACCGAAAACAAAGCCATAGTAAGCTGGATCATCAAGTGTGATAGACAATGCCTTGTCGCTTGGATCGTAAAAACAGAGATGACGATTATCCAACGCAGCGATTTCTTCCGTAGAGAAGCCATACAACCACCTCCATGCAAAGTCACTGTTCCAAATTGATTCATACAGAATAGTGAGAACGTAATACAGGTAATGGTATGAAAAAGGGAAGCAGCCCCGTGTTACATGATGCATGCGACGCGACAAAACTTTGCGTTGCAGCCAACATGCCTCCTTCTCCCCAAAACTAAGAAGTCGCAAGCGACCCAAGTCAAATTGCAGCGACAATCGTACAATGCCATCTGCCAAGGTGTTCAAATCCCCAGCAATAATAAAGGCAGGATGCTGCTGTTTACTGTAGTGAGAATGTGAGGAAATATGTTGCCTCCCCTCATTCAGTACGCTTGTGGCATCACGGAACACATCCAACAGTTGTCGCACCCTTGACAGTGCCCCACAAAATACCTCAAAATGACAACAGTAAAGGTACAGATCCGGTATATAGGAATGTGTGCGCTCACTGCGATGGATACAACAACGCAGAATGTTACGAAAACCATGCCGTGGCTCACGCCTTTTCCATCCCTCCGTTTCCCAGTCAATACCAGCCGTGTGACGAATAACACGTGGATCACTGAGCGTAGCGCCTGCAGAAAGAATGGCATTGCCATGAAAATGGCGTCCTCTCTTGTACAAAGAAGTACTACCATTGTTTTCATCACCACCATCACAAATTGCGGTTGCTGGTGACGAAAGGGGGCCTACAGCATTCTTAGGCGCTCTATCCACCGCGTCCAACTCCTCAAACTCGCAGGCAAAGTACATCTCCATCTTCAGTGCCTCGGCGAGATCCCGTGCAACGTTCCTGTAGTCCGACCGCCGGCAGTTTATGTCCACCTCCTGCAACAGGAGAACATCGGCCCGAATGACCCGCAATGTCTGCACGATGCGTTCAAACTGAATCCCACGTTCAATATTCCACTGAACGACCCGAAACGTCTCGGGAAGTTTTTCCGTTTTCGCGGCATCGGTGCGGTAGTCATAATGAAGCAACCCTCCCGGTCGAAGTGCACCCAGTTCCTGCTGCTCCCCCATAGTATTCCCTCTCACCATTCAGCTGCCCCCCTGTTTTGCCTTTTTTGTTGTTTGCTTTTTTGTTTTTCTTTGGCTTCCTCCTCCTTATTTTGTAGGCCTGTGTGTGTGTGTCTGTGTGTTGGTCCAAAGCGGCAGAACAGATGGGGAGGAAAGAGGGATAAAGCTCAAAAACAAAAACAACAAAAATAACAAGACGCAACAGACACACCAACCCACACCAATGAAGTAAATAAAAGGATCAAACAGCCACACAGGCCAAAAAAAAAAAAAAAAAAAAAATGCACATGGCAAGATGTCACTAATATAATGTGCAGAACGGCTTCTGCTTTGGTTCTCATTCCCACTCCTTCTCATTCCCACTACACAACAGCCCCTTTCAAATAAATACGCACTCAAGAGAGAGACGCAGAAAGTAAGAAAGAGAGAGATTGAAAAAAAAAAAAAAAAAAGATGTATTTGTACCATGTGTTTTGTCTACACAACTAGATCTGCCTCATCGATACCCAGATCATCGTTGCCATTCACCATTTTAAGTGCGTTTTGAACCGTGGAAGGGCCTTTGCTCGCATTCGCTTGCCGTGCGAGTGCCTCACGCGCCTTATTCGCCTGAATCTGCCGCTTCTTCTTCTGTACCATCTTGAGACGAAAGAACTCTTCACGCTCCTGCTCGTCCAGCTCCGAAGTGATGTAACTTAATGTGTTCTGCACGCGAGGAACCACTACTTTTTCCAGCGCATTTACGCGGCGGTTTGTCACCTTCTGTGCGAGGTCGAGTGTCACCCAACTAACCTGCAGTGACGCAATCTTCACCAGGAGCCGCAGGGTCTCACGGAACTTCTCAGACGCTTCTCGGAGCTGTTCGCCACCGCGGCCGATGCCCGCCGTGCCTATTCGCCGTCCCTTCTCATCCAGCGTGACCAAATCACCGCTGTGTTCCTCGCGTTCGTGAAAACTTGGGACACGCACACCGGCAATATTTTCCACCCGAAGTCGCATCGCGTATGTCGGCAGCTTAAGAGACTCCTGCACCGCAAGGCCAATGTCGCCCGCTATAAACTGAGCTTTGGAGACGGTGAAATACGCTCCCCGAATTTGCTCCACCATTTCCATTTTGGCATTTCGCAAATCCCCCATAATCGCGCGGTAGCGGATTGCGAGGGCATCGGCCTTCTTCTTTAGCAGTGAGTGCCCCTTTTGCGCTCCCTTAAGACGTGTCTTGAATGAAATCAGAGACATGCGGCTTGGCAACGCCGGGTAGCGGTTGCTCGACATGTCGGTGGCGGTATTTCCTTTTTTTTTTTTTTTTGTTTTTTTTTTTCTTTTTCTTTTTCCTGATTAAAGCTGAATGCGTAAAGACACAAGTAACACCTCCCAACGTGCTGCAAAGAGTAAAAAAGACACAATAAAAATCTAAAATTTATATTTATAAAAAGAAAAGTAAAAAAAAAAAAAAAAAATAAAATAAATAAAATACAAAAAGCGCCTCACACAACAGAAAAGAAAAAAAAAAGTAAATAAATTACATTTCTATAATTAAATGCACAGGAATGTACAAAATAACATAAATGAAATGATAGTGCTTTCCCTTCTTTTCGCACTCCAAATTCTCTTCTCCATGAAACCCTCTCCCCTCTTCCAACTTCCCCACCAGAGGTGTTCCCCAATCACACCCCATCGGCCTATTTCCCATACCCCGGCAAAGGGAAGAAGAGAGACTGTTCCTATTCCTTCGCTAATGTGACGTCATCTCCCCTTCCTTTGGCTTGTTATTGTCCACAGGGAGCGTTGGTGTGGCAGCGATACGGTCCTCTGCGCTCCATTCTTCCATAGGAGGAATCTGCTGCTCCGTCTTTGCTACCTCCTGCCGCAGGTACTGCGCAAACTCCGCGGTAAACTGATAGGCAATCTTCTTCGCCTCCGCCAAATACTTTGTGGCTGATGCGTACTGCTTCATGGAAACATACACACGAGCAATGTGGTTGAGTGACTCTGCGGTGGATAACTCACTACTTTCTCCACGCGTCCGTCGGACGTTCAACGCCTTTTCGTGCCAACTGAGTGCATCCTGGAGGCGTCTCTGTAAATGACAACACTGACCATATGTTGTGTACACATCTGCCTGTGCAAGGACGTTTGATCGAGCCGTTTTGGCGTACATGTCAAGTGCCGCTTTGCACATCTTTTCACAGTTATCCGTATCCTCACGATGAAGGTACAAAAGTGCAAAGTTACTGTATGAATACGCCACCGTGGCGTGACTCTCACCAAGCATCTCAATGCGTGTATCCAGTGCCTCCTTTAAGCACCGTTCCGCCTTCTCGTAATGGTGAAAGTCCAAGTAAAAGAGACCCAAGTCATCCAATACATCTGTAAGAAACGTACGCTGCAGCGGCTCCACCTTGGCGTTCTCACGAAACTGTTCAATGGCAAGAAGAAAATACGCTTCCGCATGAGACTCCCGCCGCATCGCATACGCGTCCCCAAGCTTCTGATATAAATACGCCAGCTGCGGATCTTTTCTATTTTTCGCCTTCCGTAGCCGTACAGCGTCACGGAAGAGGTCAATGGCACGCGTTATCTCCTGTCGCTTTACTAAGAGTGAGCCAAGGAATGTGTACGCCTCTGCAAGTTGCAGCGCCTCGGGTCCAAGCGCTTTTTTAATCACATCAACGCCACGCTCATATGTTTTCTCGGCCGTAATGTAGTCATCGCATAACTCCTGAATGCGGCCCAGTTTCACAAGTTCCTGTCCAAATAGCGCCGAATCTTTGCCAAGCGCCACAGCATATGTTGTCGTGCTCTCTTCGTATAATCGCCGTGCCTCACGGAATTGACGGCGTGCGGCGAGCAACGAGGCCTTGCTGCTCGTTGCCTGCGCCGTTGCCGGAGAGTCACGACCGAGCGTTGCGATACAAATCTCAAGACATTCGTTAATACACATCTCTGCCCCTGTGGCATCATTGATCGACTTTTTCAGTTCACATAACTTGTTGAGAGTTTGTGCAATGATGGGACGATACTTGTTGTGCCGGATGTAAAGATAACGACGAATCTCAAGCGCCTCTTCCAGAAATGCAATGGCTCGATGCTCCTGATTCTGAAGAAGAAATAACTGTGCACAGTCGGCAAGTGCATGGGCGGCGGATGCAAGAGGGTGTTTCTGCGGCTCTGTGATAGTGGCTGCTGTTGACCGGTCGTCTGGCAGCCACGAGTTCGTCACATGATTGTACGATTTGTCGCGAAATACCTTGATACTCTCGCGAAACGCCTTCTCCGCTTCCTCAAGAAAGTTCAAATGCGTGTACGAAAGAGCCAGCAGTGCAAGGCTCTCGGCGTAGCGAATCGAGTTTTGTCCCTCCACCTGCTCATAAATGGCGGCCGCCTCCGTCAAGGCGTTCTCCGCGGCACCGGGCTCACGCATTTCTAGAAAGACGCGTCCAATGTTATGCAGTGTCGCGGCACACTTTTCGTGAATGGGGCCGTAGCGTTCCCGCCGCATCGTCAAGGCGCGGTCGTAGAGACTAATCGCATCACCGTAGTTTTTCGTTTGATGGGCTACTTTGGCCAATTCGTTGCACTCTTCACCAAATTCAAATGTCATAGGGGCGCGACCAGCAGCCTCTCGAAACCCCTTCGGCGCATATTGACGTGGCCCAATGGCACGGTGCTGACAGCACAATGTAAATGTCTGCTGCTGCTGCAAGGAAACAGTTGGGCTGCGGCAGCCCATGCGGTACAACGCAAAGTTCCCGCTGAAGGCGCGCCAACCAACAGAGCGGCGGCACACAACACCATTGACAGCAACTCGAGTCGTCCTACCAGACATGACTGCAAAAAATAAAAAATAAATAAATAAATAAAAATGTGTGTACCTCGACGCCGTGCACGGCAGAAACAACTTTCTTCCGCCTTAATGTCTTCTCTCCTTCTCTTTAGGTGAATACTCGCGTTATGTGTGTCTATGTTGCTGACACAGCATACACCCGCCCCTTTTTCCGGCGTGCCGTATCAAATGGAAAAAAAAAAAAAAAGAAAAAAAAAAGAAAAAAAAAAAAAAGGGCCAAAAATCACTTAAGAGGGAAAAATAGAGAAGATACAAGAAGTCCAGGCAAAAAAAAAAAAAAAAAAAAAAAGGATTTTTAGGAATGAAACAAAATCAGGCATGTAGAGAACATGACAGAATCACACACACACACACACACACGTACACACAAACAAACAGATGCAGAGAGACACACATACACTCCCCACATCCCCTCCAACCCTCACATAATAATAACGACACAGCACCGTCACTCTCAAAACAACAGTAATAAAACACAAACCGCTTTTGATTATAAATGTCGACTAAATAAAGAGAAATGTTCTCAAGAAGAGATACAACGACAATAAAGCAACAAAGCACACACAAACACACACACACAAAAAAAAAATCTGTTCGGTTCTTTCTCCCCCCCTTTTTCTCTCTCAAAGAGGGAAAGGGACACAAACCCATCGGTATGTATATATATACCATTATCTTACACACTCTTTCTCTCTTTCTCTCTCTATTTTTCATTTTTAAAATTATCAAAGCACAAGAGACGTCACCTGAGAAAAAAACACATGCATGCATGCACACATGTATTATTACGGTCGTATATTAAAATACTCTACGATTTTCCTCGCTTCTGCTCTTCCGTCATTATTTTAAACATTTCATTGCATGCATTCTTTCCGCCTTCTTTTTTGTTGTTGCTGCTTTTCTCTTCTGTGAGAAGATGGGAAACAAAATGGGAGAAAAGAAGTTGCAACAATGTCTATTCCTCTGCACCAACAGAGAGGGGCCTACCGTTTTGACTTTTGCTGCAGCCATTCTTGCTATCACTCTCCCCATCGCTAACGTCATCGGCATCCTTCTTATCTTCATTTGGCCATTGATTAAGAAACAGCAATTGTGCTTGTACGGTGGGCGGCAACTTATCTCGCTGATTGGTGTCTTGAAATGGGGCTTGCCATAGATTGCCAAAGGCTGTAAGAACAGACTTCACATTCAGTGCGTAGTGGCCAATCTCCTCCAGCGATTGAATGATGCCGTCTTCATCGCTACCCAACACAACATCCGTGCCAACACGGACGTTCTTCTTCTCTCTGTCTGATTCCACATTCTCCAGAGTATTTTGGACAGACTGCATATCGGTCTTTCCTTCCGGGAGGAGGCGTCGGTGTTGCTTGAGCCACAACACACCCGGAAGCCCTGCAATGTCTTCCTCAGCTCCTTTTCCGGATTTCGTCTGGTTCCCCTCCTCCTCCCGTAATGCAAAACGCACATATTCTTGAAGTTCTGCGTCCTGTTCATCCTCTTGATAAGAGAACTCCGTCTCCGACGACTTGGACGCCGTTGACCCTGTCGAAAGAACATGATGACTGCGTTTCATTGGACTGGTCTGGACCGCGGCACCACCGACACCCGAATCCGCAGTTTTTATACAACCCTTCATACTTGCATTTAACGACTCCAAGTCCAACGTGGTCTTCGGCATCGACTCATCTAGCATCAACTGGCGAACCGGCGAACGCGATGCGGACGAGGCCCGAGACAAGGACTCGGTGCTCGGGTACGTGATATCCCACACACCCACGGCATCTCTTGCTCGTCCATTTTCGGCACCCTTGCTCGTCCGCGGTGACGACGGTGACCCCGGCAACCTACTCAGCTTCACGGGTGAAATAACAGGGGAGGCATTCACGCGAAGCATTGGATGTTGCAATTGTTGGTGTTGCTCCTTATGCTCTGGCGGGTAATTTTCCAGAGTCACTGCCTCAACTGCTTCTCCTCGTTGTTGTTGTTGTTGTTGCTGCTCCTGCTGTTGTTGCTCTTGTTGCTGTTGTTGCGTTTTTGGTGTTGGTGAGAAAGTGTCCACAGTCTCCTTGCCACTATGGGGAATCTCCGTGTTTCTGGGCGATGTTGTCAATGGGGCTGCTTTTCGCCTTGGTTTTTGCGTCTCCTTCCTCCCTTGGTGTTTCTTCCGAGTTTTCGTCGCTGCTGCCGTCCCATCTTCTCTGGCTTCACCTTTGCCAGGGTCCGCAGCGGATCGATGTCCGACAACTTCTTCCATTACGGCAAGGCGATGGTGTGAATGTTCATTCATCCTCCCAGAGACTGCTGGTTTTTTCCGTGATGGAATGTCCAACACGACATACCGCGCCTCCCCTTCCTCACGCTTATTTTCTCGCTCCCCTTCCATAACGGTTGAGGCAAAGACATGAGAGGCGGCGATATCTCTAGCGGCTTCACGGACAGTGTTTTTGCCCTTGTGGTTGTTGCCCTTGCGTGCATTCCCCATGGGATCAGGCTCGCTAGGCATGGCTGCAGACCCGCGCGTAGAATTTCCTTGCGGAATGAAGACACCCACGGAAAACTCATGTTTACTCGGCGCCCTCGATTCTTCACGCGTCTTTTCGGTCGTGAGTAAAGAGTGGCCCCTCTGAATGGAAGTGGTGTGCAGCTGCATCAATTGATCCCTTGTCTCATGCTCTTCCTGAGCAATAAGCAATCGTTCGTGGTTCTCATCACTGCAAAGGAGAAAAAAGGGGTTATCAAAAAGCCGCTTCAGTTCCTGTGCAGCCGCGTCAGAAAACAAAGAAGATGAAGTAAAATTCATTTGAGGCCTGGCGATGGCATCTTCATCTTGACTAAGCCTCTTTTCACCGCCACTTGTGCCACCGGCAGATCTTTGAGTCGGTGGCAACGTGTCCACTGAGAGCAACACTGGCCGCTTGTTCTTGGCGGAGAGAGAAGGGGACTGCGTATCACTGTTACCAGCAACATTAGGTAAAAGATTCTGAGAACTATTGAGGCTGTGGTGGTGTAGGATGGAGGTGATCATAATATTACTGTTAAAATGACGTTTTAATGACGACGTGGCATCCACATCAAATCCCACACCCGATGTCGCCATAGCAGTAAGTTTGTTTGGCATTTCTATGCGGTTTTTCTGCCATTCACTATGACTGTTTCTATTGGATTCAAAAGGTCGAGACCGTGGCCGTGTAAACAAAAGGGGAGTACCTCGAGCTAATATATGGCGCTCATTCATCCATACCGTACGCTCTCTCTCAATGTCTTCGTTTTCCAATGACACACTTTCCTGTGACGACATGCGTTGCTGTTGCGACTGTTGCTGTCTCATACTGCGCGCTCGACTCACGGATAGCAAAGGCACAGTAGCTGCAACCGGTCTCATACCACCCACGTGTTCCTCGTCACGGCGAGAAGCCATTCGTGCCTGTTCGCGCAGCCATACAACCTGAATACGGCGTACTTGTTCCTCATGTCTTTTCTTCCATGACACGTGACCCTCGTACAAAAGATGCTCATCCTGTGGCCGTACAATACTGCGAGACCATTCTTCTGTTACAACAGGTCCTGCTGTACGATACTTGCTTACAGATGGACTAATATCCCTGTATGAATCATGATAGCTACTCGCTCCACTGAATTCAGTTGAGGGTATTGCCCCAACATTCCATGTTCGAGAAAGGGGCGAGGTAGGGCTCGTGTTTCCTTTACTATTGATGTTGTCTACAAACAGGGCATTCGGCGAGACCGCTCGTCGGCCGGTGGGATAGACCGCCTTGCGGGTTCGTGGGGAAAGAGATATCTGCAACTGTGTCTGCATGGCCTTTTCACCCCGTAAGTCCTGGGCTTGGAGTAGCCTGGGCGGTGAATGGTTCTCCCTCGCATTGAGAGAAAAGCACTCCTCCAGCAGATGCGAGTTCAGCTCTGGCACACTCTTCAGCCGTTTCTCTTTCGTCTGCGCTCCACCATTGAAGTTATCACCGTCCATTTCAAGTGGCTTCTGCGGTGGTGGGGAAGGCGACGTTGACGACTTCCGCTGGATCTTCTTCCCTGTTTGTTTCCGCAAAACTGCACCTCTCGTGCGGGTGCAGACCGAACCGCTGGACGACGCCCGCCCTTCATTGCGTGTAGATGCGGTTTTTATCCCTGCGTGACCCGAGACGGCATTGCGAAAAGGCATCCGTCCTCACGTCTGTCTACCCAACAGTTCCGGTCCTCCTCCCTCCCCTCCCCTCCCCTCTTGGCGTCCGCTGAGAGAATATATCGCTCTCGTTATAAATACTGCCCGTGTTGTCCTCGGCCTTTCAGTCACGTCACAATCGTATTTTCGCTCAACTAAGGAAAAATAGAAGAGCGTCAAAAGTAACACTCTCTTTATTTATTTATTTATTATTATTAGAGAAAATTACAATAAATATATGTTTATTCTGGGAACGAATACACCACAACTTAATAGAAGAAGCAAAAGTCTTCGTATTTTCAGTTCTCACCGTTCCGGGGAGAGGAACGCCCTCTGTTTTAGTGTGTGTTTGTGTGTTTGTGTATACACGTATTCTATGAAGTTTAATAATGGCTTGCGTATGCGCATATGCACAGGAGGAGAAGGAGAAAGGAAAAAAAAAAAAAAAAAAAAGAGACAAATGGGGCTATGGTGATTGAGTTCCAATATGTACAAATCGCATATTTGTGCAACGATAAATGTAAGGCGGTTCATATCCTCCTCTTCCTTGCGTGCACACACACACACACAAACACACAAGGGTAAATAATAAATAAACATCGTTTACACTTAATTATTAATCCCTCAACAACAGTATCATGCATGATTCCTTCTTCATTGGGCGTTCATTCATTTTTAAACGTACTTCACTTTCTGTTTTTTGATTTCCCACCGCAACTTTTTTTTTTTTTAATCGGCTTGTGAGGATCACAGGATTACCGGCACGTGCAACGTCCGATCCAACACAAAAATTCCCCTTAAAAGAACGTGGCTTTGAGTCAAACCTCTTTTTTTTTTTTTTTTTTTTACTTTTCTCTCCTCCGTCGTGCCTTTAAAGGGGCCGCGTCATCACCGCCACTGTGACTGCGCTTGCGGATTGTTTGAATGGTTTCACGCCTCGTCGTTTTCTCCTTCCGCGCGGTCCTCACGGCAGTCATCGCTGCTGTCAGGGTGAAGAGAACCTCGTCCACCGTAACCGCATCCCCATCCACATCGTCGGTGGTGGTTGTCGCTGCCGTCTCTTTTCCCCAAACGTTGGCCTCGTCTCTCCTCGTTTTGTTCTTCTCCAGGCGTTTCCGTTTCGTCGTTGTTGTTGTCGTCGTTTTTTTTAAATCCCCGCCAAAGTGGACGTGGTGTCTCTCCAGCTGCTCCCGCACCATCGTGGAGGCCTGCGCTGCCAACGAACTCAGTTTCTCTGAGCGTTCCCCGCAGCGCATCGCCACGGTAAGTGTGGGGACAATCGTGTCCCGCACAAAACGTAACCCCACGGCATTTCTTGCAAGCCAACATACCGCCCGTTTCACGGGGCCAGTCGCACCAGAGGCTTCTCGAGATGTCACTTTCTCACCCGGCTCATTCCTGTCGTCGCCCTCTTCTTCCTTCCTACCGTTGATGGTGTTATCTGCCTCCGCGTCGGTTGGCAAAGCTGCAAGGAAACCGCCAAAGTACTGCACAAGGGATGTGGTGCGGACCATCACGTTGGCCACTCCGCCGTGTTTGATAACAGGCTTCACTAACGAGTGGAGCTGGTGGTGGAGAGAGGTGAAGTGCTGCGCAATGATGTCCTGAACGTACGACATCTCTGAACCGGCGCAAAAGACCGCCACCTTGAGAAGCACCATGCTAACAACAAACATTGCACGGGTGATGTATAAGGCCACGTTCACCGCGTCTGTCCTCGACGGCTGCTGCATGGCCCGGTGGGCGTTGTACTTCTCGTTCGGTACATCGGAGAGCGCGATGAATTGCAACAACGTACGCATCGCAGCGGCCATTTGATCCAGGACGTTCAACGCCCGATGGACTGTATCCGGCGGACCCAGTGATTCATGGAAGCAAACCACATACGGGATGCATCCATCATCTTTATCATCTTCATGACTGTGGGAGACCACGGGGGACGATGCCCGCCGCGTGGCGTGAACATTTCCACCCATGCCGCTTATCCTTCTCTTCCCCTTCGTATGATTCTTCTTGGAGGTGACTACAAGATACCCCGCAGCCATCCAGTCTATCCCACGCAAGTACCCGCACCGCCTCTCCACCCCGTCATGGCAGTACATCCGCAAAAGTCGCAACGCCACCGACTGAATCCAAGGGTGTGAGTGCAGCACGAGACGGCCCGAAAGAAAAGGCACAAGATGTGGGGCAACGGACATATTATGCCACACCTGCATAGGGGCCACCATCGCAATTCCCTCCAGGCATCGGAGAGCAAAGAAGACATAGGTCCAACTCTTCAGCTCCAATTTTCGTTTAAATGCTGCAGTGAGTTCTTCATATTTGCGCTTCGTTCCAAATGTCGCCACCTGGTCAAACGTTGCAGCATCGAGCAGCGCCTGGAGCGACCAGGACCAACACGCCTCAAACTCACATGCGTCCTCATCGACGCTCATGTCATATGATGCAGCAACGGCAGGAATCATCACGGCCCATGTCTGCAGCGCCATGGCCCTGCGGGGGCGTGTCTGGCCTGACGCAAGCCACTGCGACAGTGTAGGCACAATCACATCCACACCGGCATTTTTCACTAAGCTCTGCAGCACATCTCCGGCTTTCTGTCGTGCCTCGTAAAACTCTGAGACGGCAAGTGTGACGGCAAGTGGAATGAGCAGTAGCGGCGCCTCTTGTCGCAGGACGGCAGTTGGCAAGCGGTAGACAAGTACGCCAAGTAGCTCGAGTATCGCAATGCGTCCTGTAACCTCGGGGTAGTCAAGATTGCGGCAAAAAAGATCCATATGCGAACGAAACTTTTCTGCGGTTATGCGATATTCTGTCAGGAAACGCGCAAGAACGGCTATACAGCGTTGCCGCAACAAACGTTTTGCACTTGTGTGCATCATCAGTTCCGTCACCACCCCAATGAGATCGTACACCTCCACCACATGGATGTGTTTGCCAAGTACTGCATGAAATAAAGATAACGCCATGGGAAGAAACTCGTTACGGTCGACAAGCTCAGTGCGACACAGTTGTAACAGTTGCGCTGCCTTTTCTTCGGTCAATATAAACCGCTGATGCGCCACCACCGCTGCCGCCACACGCATCGCGCGCTGCTTAATTGCCCCACCACGTTCAAAGAAGGCAGTAACGGTGTCATACATTGTTGTGTGGAGTGCCCCCACCGCATGCAGCGGCGGCCGCAGTGATACAAGAGCGAGCATGCAGTCCAGCGCATGACCCACCACTGCATCACTTCCCTCACCTTGCAGGGTCGTGAGCACAACAGGGAGCAAACTTTCCAGAAGCTGTTGATGCTGACGTGTAAAGGAAGTCGTTAAATCAGCCATCGGCCGCCGCGTTTTATTTCTCTTCTCCACTTCGTGTACGTGACGCTTCGCCTTCTCCTTTTTCGTCGTCGTTGGCTGTGATTGTTCGGACACCTCGCCCGCGTTGTTATCCCACTCCCCATTCTCCTGCTGTGCTGCCGTGGCAAAGCGATCCAATGCATCTCCCCTTTCGTCATCCAACGGCTGTGGGTTCAACAACAACAACGTGTCACCTCCTTCTTCCTCCCCCTCCTCATCGCTGTTGTCGCCGCCCTTTTCTTCCTCCTCCTCCTCCTCCTCATTCTCCTCCTTTCCGCCACGTTCCCGCAGTTCCTCTGGTAAATCATCATCATCATCATCATCATCTTCGTCTTGGCAGCTGTTTTCCCCTTTCCTATTCTTATTCTTCTTCTTCCGTTGGGCGCGTAGCAAGTCAAGGCGAACGGCTGCCGTCGTGTATTTCCGTTCCTTCCCAATGCCAAGCACGTGCTTCAGCACACTTAGAAGGTATTTCAATAGGAACTCATCCAGCGTGTCAAGCACCACCGCAGTTGCGGGATCCTCGCGGTAAAAATTCTTCGCTGCCTGCTGCACCTCCTTCCCGTAGCGTCCACGGTAGGCGCGGAGTTTTTGCCGCTGCTGTGTCGCAAGCACTGTGTGGGCGCTGAAGTCCACATCCACCCGTTCCGGACGCTGATCCACAAGAAAGTTTGAATCGAGCTGATCCTTTCGCGTCGCCGTGGGGGCGCGTTGAATCGTCAGGTGCACATTGCCACGAATGCGGCGGGTGCCATCCTTCGCCTCAAAGGTCTTAATTTTCTCCTCACGCACTTCATTGTGACGACGCAGTAAATCTCGCACGGTGAGGAAGGAAGACTCCACTTCCATTGTCGCATTTTTTATGAGGGCACGCGCGAAACGGATGGCCAAAAGTCGAACCTTTTGAACAAAAACAAAATCGGCGGCGGCGTTCTTGCTGACGGTGCTATACTTTGTCTTTAGTTCCTGCAATAACAAGGCGGCGGCACGAGCACTCCCACGCAGGGTACTTACATCCACCGTATCCGCCGTGCTTGGGGGCGTCAAAAGCCATGTAATCTTCTCTAAGAAGACCTCAATCACACGGCTTGCCTCGCAATGGGAGGCAATGAGAGTAAATCCCTGCAGGGCGCGATTCCGTTTCACTTCTACCATTGTGCTCATGAGCTCCACCTGTTCCTTCTGTTCCCCCACTTCACCGAGGTAGTCGTCCAGGAAAATACTCATCAGATTATCCAAGCACGACGTCAGGCACTCCACTCCGTATGCCCAATCAAACTTGTTGGAAGCAGGGATCAATTGACGGACCAGTTCTTCTTCTTCCTCCTCTGCTTCCGCATCCTCTTCTTCTTCCCGTGTGGTTTCTTTTTGCCGCGCTTCTGCCTGTGACTGCTGCTCAACCTTTTCTTTGTCATCATCATTATCATTATCACCCTGAGGGAAAGCGGCACCCGCATGCTCCATCGGCTTCCCCTTCGCTGCAATTGCTGCTGCTGCTGCCGCGCCCATCACATGTTTCTTCCGCCTGTATGACATGGCATGCTGAGGTTCATAGAGGTTGTACAGAAGTGTCACGACCGTGTAGCCAAGCACATGCAGCTGGTAGCCGTGCACAAGGTGATCCCGCAGTTTCGTGATGACAAACGCAAGTTTCCCAGGTCCTGTTTCACACAACATTGCGCTGAGAATTTTTCGCGCGCTTTCTCGGTGCTTATCGCTCTTCGTTCGCAGTTTTAATATCACCTCATCAAGGAGATGCTCCACATGCAGAGAGAAACGCTCCGGTGGGAAGCGCTTCACAATTTTTGTAATGGCGATGGCCACAGGTAGCTGCAGAATTGCCGTTTTCTGTTGGGCATTGTCCGCCTTCCGCATCTCATGACGTACACTCGCAATGGTGTGCACATTCCCACGAAGTTCAGTGTCAATAGGGTGAGCCTTGCGCGAGTCGTTACCCAAGAACTCATACAATTGTGGAAGGATATCGTCTTCCAGAACATGAATGACATGCGCGTGACGGTACTTAATACGCTTTGCACGGAGAGCTGCTGCGTCCTCGTCCTCGTCCTCGTCCTCGTCCTCCTCGTCGTCATCTGCATCAGCAGAGGCATCCGTCTCCGGGCGGGTAATGTCTGCATCCCGCACCTGCCCCTTTTTCCCACCCTTAATCCCGCTAATATTATTATTATTATTATTATTATTATTACCATCAGTTTCACCGTCGTTCAAAAAGTGGAAGTGGTCAAGCATCATCACCACACCACGAAGCATCGGCAGTTGCAAGGAGGCATTCTCACGGGCATTCTGCATAAACAAACTCAGCACGCGATAATACCCCTCCCATGGCAAAGCCGCGGCCAAAGTCGCCACGGTTGTCAACACGGCATCGCAGTAACCCTTTGCACGTCCCTCCGTGAGGTTCTGTAGATCCCTCTTTCCCTGCGCAAAGTCCTTCACCGCCACAAGAAGAAACGGCACAAAGACACGAAGAAGATCCCGAGGTAGAAGACGTCCCACATTTTGCCGCAACAACTCCAACGCCTTCACACGACACCGATGCTGAACGTGACCCACATTTGCAAAAAAACACCGCTCCACATTTCTTGAGTACAGTGCGGCAAATGAAGAAAAGGACTGAGGGTAATACCGCGCCAAGGCGCTAAAACTTTGCATATGTGCATGGCGGATGTGTACATCGCGAGATGTGATGCCGCGGCGCAGGGAAGGCAATATCTCCCGTCGAATCACATGCTCAAGAATCATTGTGTCATATGACGTTGTGAGATCCTTTTGTCGTGATGCATACAAAATCATCGCGTCCAGCAATTGGGCTGCTAACACACGTATCGTCCCCTCTGGATCACGCAGAAAAAACATCACATTCGCTGCCAGCGCAAAAACGGCCTCTACACACAACACAGGAGCCTCCGCCTTGTCTAACGGAATCGTGACATCTGCGGCGCCACTGTAATCCCTTTCATGCCGCACTTGTTTTTCAGTTCTTGGGGAAAAATTAGACGATAACCCCTCTCCTGTGCGCTGGTGTTTTGCGAGAAGAGCTCCGTAGTTTCCGTTATGCGCAAAAAACTGCCGCAAGGAGCGGAAAGTGTGAAACCGCAGTTCAAAGTCGTACCGCCCCAACTCCGTATTGTCTTCCGCAAAGGCGTTCAGACACGTCACGGCACGCCCCACAGCAGCCATTTGTGCCATGTGAGCCGCAGAACCCCGCTTCACCTTGTCTGCATGGAGATGGAAGTAGGCAGGACACACCAACCGTGAAAGCACCATCGATAGAGCGCGGCATAATGCCAAACGCGCCTCTGGGCATGTCACAACGTTAAATAAACGTACAAGCGGCTCAAAGTGCTCGACGAAGCCCACATGTCGCATGCGGGGCAGCAAACTCTCCAACATATTGGCAGCCGTAATGCACGTCTGTGGATCCTTGGCAGAGGCGGGGTGAGCCACAAAGGCAATGCACATCTCTAAAAGTCGAGAGAGCATGGCATCCACACAATCCTCGGGATTTTCATCTTTCGTCGTATCTGGTACAACCACGTATTCGGAAAGCATTGTGACCGTCGCGATCATCTCTTTCCACATGGGCACGCTAAATGTCATGACGGAGAACGACCTCCGCTTCTTGTGAGTTGCACCCAAGCGGTCATTGCCAAAGGACGATTGCGAGAGAGCCGAAGAAGAGGCACCCCACACAATTAACCGATAGAGAGAGCCAAAAATTGTCGTCACATACGGTTTAATGTATGCATTCTGCAACGTAGTAGAGCCAGGAGCACCAAAGATATCAAAAGATTCATCACTAGACGCAAGGATGATGCCCACACAACGCAGTCCCTCATAAATTGAGCGTGTCGATGCCTGTTGCAGAGACAAGCTGGTGGACACAGAGGAAGACACAGTCACGGCATTTATGGAAGAACTCTTCATGGTGTGACTCATCGCATTGCATCCAAAGACTTGCATAAACATGGCCGTTACGGTATCACCAAAGGCTCCAATCAGCGGCATGGTAAAGGGTGATTCAACCCATGCACGTACAAGCCGCAGCAACGGTGTAACTCCCGTCTTATGACCGTCCCCAGCACGTTGGGTGCTCTTAAACTCGAATATTACACCGTTGCTATTCTCATGTAACATGGAGACATATCGACTTATGAGACTTTGAGCCACATCTCCACCTGAAACCTCAACGAGATCCTTCCGCAGTGCCATCATTACTTCTGAGGGAAATTGTTCAAAAAGAGATGATACCATTCCTGCAGCTATGCGACGCAACTTTGGAAGAAGTGTGTTTAGAGTCGATGAAGACAATGCGTTCCGTATACGCCAATATTTCTCGGTTTCACACATCGTGTCTTCGCCTAACGGTGCCTGGAGGATTTGCTTACAGCTAACAAGGTAGGCATTGAGGGAAAGGTACATGCATGGCCCCGCATAAGACTCAAAACCTTTACCAACAGACTGCAGTAGCGCATGTAGTAACTGCATCGTGTTCAACAACTGCTTCACAAGACGTTCCAAACGTCGTGCGCAGTGACTGTTGCTTTCCACCCACTCTGCCCACATCTCTGGGAATCGCACTGCGGCTGAATTCATAGTCTCACTGGATATAACACGTTCAAAGATAAGCCTCTGCACTATTCCTTCCAGAACTTGTGCAAATTCCCCGGTCGCTGAGAGATGTGTCACCATGGACAGTATCCGACGCTGAAGAATAGCCTGGTCCTTTAACTTTTCCTTCGACAACTTTGCCGTAAGCTTTGGCAGCACAATGGCGATGGCGGTGGCAATGTAATCTGCCTTATCCTCCTCTGGAATATCCGTCTCAATGTGGAATGTGGACAGAAAATGAAAGAGATTTTTCTGCGTGTCACAGTAGGGAATCAATTGGGCATGATGGCTCGAGAAAGGAAGAACCTTAAGTCGCTGGAGCAGATCTATGGCGGCGCGCTGCAGCTTGGCGTTTGAGTCTGAAAGAAGTCCAATGCACATCGTTTGTAGTTGATCATTTTGTGTGATGAGACGTGACCGGACATGCGCCGGGAAGTGTTCATTCAAAGACGACACGGGCGTCACATGACAGGCGTTCATCGCTAACACAAGGCGGTCATCCAACATTTTAAGTTGCCGCAACCCATCAGGGTGCTCGCCACGGCGTACGGCAGACAACTCAAGCACCAACTCCACTGCGAGCGACACCCGCTCGTCGCCAACCGCCCCGCGTGTCATCTCCGAAAGCCCAGACAAAAATGTCTTGGCCAACACTGCGCGGTCAGTGGCGCGTGCGGTAATTGCGCCGTGCGTGTGTGTCGGTGACGCAGAGGGTAAGTAATGACGCCGCCACGACAGCACCTCGCCGTCGGTATTGGCCAGCTGCAGCAGCGCAACCGTGGAGAAAGCAGAACGGGCTGTAGCAAATTCTTTGCTCACAAGTTCGCCCTTCTCGTGGCGCTGCATATCTGTGAGGCAAATACGGTACCACACGGTAGCCCTTCCACGTGCATGTGTGCTACCACCACCACCACCACCAGCGTCTTCGTCTTCTTCATCCTCCTCGTCATTGAAATCCTCCGCTGCCGCCCTGCGCAGAATGTCCCCAAAAACCACCGCGCGGGCGTACCGGCATATAACTCCTCGCCAAACAAGCGGTTCCATTTTTTTCGCCAACGAAGATGAAGATGATGCGGCTTCCGAACTAGGAGATAAAGTGTTGCCGAGGGAAGAATGGTTACTTTCCCCTGAAATTCCCAGATCGCATCTTTTTTGTTGTTGTAGCACCGGAGCAGATGTGTTCTCCATGCGCACAAGATCTGCAAGCATTTTCAATGCGATTGGATGTGCTTCCGCAAATCGAGTGTGTAGCAGACCAACCATTGCATGTGCCAAAATCACACGTTGGATTGGATTCCGCAGTGTGCCCGCGGCCACCTCAAATGTCAACTTCGCCAGCGCCTGACGCACACCGTCCAGGTTGCCTGCAGCAGACAAGGGATCAAAGAGCTCCGCACTCAGTAGCGCATCAAAAAAGGAGGTGTCAATGGCACAACAACCCGCAGTACGTTCCGCCTCCGTCACGCTTGGGTGGCAGAGCAACCGCAGCAATCGAATAGCGACAACACGCAGTGAATGAACCGGAGACGCAAGGGCCTCGAGAAGTAGAGTCTCTACAAGCGCCCGTTGAGTCGCCATGTCAATTGCCCCATGAAGACGCGATGTGGCCCTCAGTAATGTTCGATCTCCTGTGTCTGTTGAGCCCTTGACGCGGGCCTTATTTGAGGAGGCAACTGTGACCTCTGCGTCACGCTCAAGCTCAAGCCCAAAGAGACGCAGTAGTGAACACAACAGGCATTCCATTCCATGAAGAAGTCGCCCTGTCTCCTCGTCATTCAGTTCCTTCACATGCCTGTTTTGGAAGCTCGCGGCAAGAACTATGACGGCATCCTTTAGAAATCCCACACACTCCACCTGCATGTTCTTTGAGTCCAGTTCACCTGTTAATGTATCCAGTTGCACCAACAGGGTTGACGCCTGTGCAAACAAGGAATAGGAAGCAGCTGTAAGTCGTGTCAGTGGTGTTAAATTTTGTTCTTCTTCTTTTTTTTTCTTCTCGTTATTCTTATTATTACTCCTATTACCAACGATGATGCTCTTGACACCTCTTATAGCTCGCAGTAGGGCATCTCGAAATATCCATAAAAAGAGTGTTTTTCCGCTGTCGGCGGTACTATTCTTACCCGGCATACGTTTCATGGCTTTCTCGGCATCAACCACTGTCAAGACCAGCGGAAGAATTGCCGACACTACATCGGCCCATTTCGATGCATCCGTCTTTGATTTCTCGTCCACACCTTCCTGTGCGTTTGCGAAGACCACCAAGACACCACGCAGGAAGTTCTGTAGACTTGCAGTTAAGGCATCTCGATTTATCAAGGAAGAGATGGCAGCTTCCGAGAAAGTAGAAGATGCAGCAAGTGGAATAAAAGTGAATGGGGAAATGTTGGTCGTCAATGCTGAGTACAGAGGGCTTCTCACCAGATGTGTCGTCCGATCACACATCATGCGAGCCATCATCACCGCATGTGTTACTTCACGCATCACCGAGACGCATGTATCGTTTTTTAGGGTCTTGTCTTTGTTGCAGACACGATCTAGTGCTACATTCGCATCCACACATGCACTATGGAGTACAGGGACCAAAAGGGATAACGCAAATGGCGATAAGTACGATGTCACCATCATGTGCCCTTTGTCACTTGGGTCTTTTTCTCCCTCAATTAACCGACGTTCGTCTCGTAGAAAAAACGTATAGTTTTTCTGTAGCACATCTTGCATAAAAGCAAACAACATTCGTTTCGTTGATCTTCGTAAATCATCCCAATCTCCCACAGAAGCATCACAAGCGACATGGTTGTTGTTGTTGTTGTGTTGGTAGTGGTAGTGGTGGCGGCCAGAAATAGAAAGGCACGTCATTAAAATCTCCTGAGCGAGGGGCAACAAAATGCCTTGTAGCGTCTTCGCATGGGAGGTTAAAGCAGTCGGGCCAACACATAATGGCGTAAACACCTCCAATATACCACCACAGGTCCGCATGACACGACACCAATCATCATATTTCATTGCCTTTGTGTCAGTCATGTCCTTTGAAACCGTCTGGATTTGCTGCCTCGCCTTTTCCAGCAGCGTTTCAGAAGTTTTCCGAAGCGTGGATGTTGCCGACGGGTCGCGCAAAAGTTTATAATCTGCCGCGTGCAAAAGCGACCCTAACAAATGTGCATGCGGCGGTGAAAACTCTAACAGTGCCGTCACCGCCCTGAGCATCTGAAGCGACGAGGCCCGCACTCCCTGCCTCTCCTCTTCGTTTTCCCTTTCCTCGTCACCGGCAGCATTACCAGCAGCAGAGGAGGAAGTGACTGTCTCCTCCACTATCATTCGTAAGGCGCTGCCAATGACTACACCACCGATCATCTGAACGAGTTCCTTCACCACCACCACCTCCTCCTCACCCTGCTGGCTTTCTCCCTTCATGTCCTTTTCGTCCCGGACACCCATAAACATTTCGTTCCATCGGGAGGCATGAATGAAGTTTTGTGTCTCCTCTTCTGTGAAGCCAAACATTTCCTGTTCGTTCATTCCTCTCCCTGAACAGTATGTGCCGGCAAACTGCGTACGCCGCAAAATTCCAAACACGTGAGCAAGTAACACGTAGTGATTTTCAAAGTTCGTGCTAAGAGACCCACGGATGCCTCGAAACATCTCTGCAGCGAGGAAACACAATCCGTCCACAACGGGGAGCACCACAAGGCCACTCTGCTCATACGCCTGCAGGAGTGAAGAAGACATAACGGTGGGACGTGGCTTTAACTCCTTCTCTGATTTCCCATCGAAGTAATCTTCATCATCATCTTCCTCCACCCCCTCCTCATCGTTTGCGCCATTGTCATTATTCGCCTCGGAGGCCGCCCTTCTTTCTACCAGCGTGGAATTGGCACAGTACACCTCGAAGTCCTGTACCACATCAAGGCATGCCTCTTCCACGACAAGTGGTACTAAATCCCTCACCATGCGGCAGACAGACGCCAACACCTCCGCTGACAGCCGTCGTATGTACTCCTTCTTGTCATGCATCTGCCGCACGTACAGGCGAATGATGCGTTCCACAATTTTACGCTGCCCCTGAAGTAACCAGAAGGGACGCATCTCACGACACCATGCGACCTGCGCGGCAAAAATAAGTTGCAGTCTTCTGGTGTCCGCCATCAACTGTCCCTTGGAGTTCAGGATCCCACCGTTTATGGCCTGATGGAAACATTCAAAGTATGCCAAAAACTTCTCCTGCATGTCACGCGCAAAGGCAACCGTCAGCCGCACAAACGCCTCAAACCCTTCTGCAAACTTGTCACGTCGCATGAGACACAACAAGAGCTTTTCTGCAATTCTGCGGTGGTTGAGGCGGAATAGTGCTTTGGACTCACAGAGCTCCAGCACCTCCCAACGAAATCGTCTAAAATCCGTCGTGGAGTGAGAGAGCATCAACTCGTTTAGCTCCACCAAAAACGCACACTCCTCGTACGCACTGTTATCGTCGTCCTTAACGCCGGTACGACTCACAAGACCCGCCACAGGGCGAAGAATGATGTCCCCCAGCACACTGTGACCAACGCCAACATGCACATGCTGTACGGCATTACGGAAGATCTTGTCCCGACCCCGCGTGTTCTGCCCGCGCTTCTTTGGCGGCATCGTGCAAAATAATAATAACGCGGGTGCTTTACTACTTAAAAGGCGTAAAAAAAAAAAATAAAATAAAAAATGAAAATAAGAGCGAAAGAAAAGAGTGAATAAAACAGCCGGAGTCTCCCTCCTTCCACGGATGCCACCGTGAGTAAATATAGGCAAGATGTAAATGGGTGTCGTTTGACCATTCCCTCCCCACATCGCAGGGCCGTTTTTACATGCATGCGCATAAAATCACCCGCACACACTCACACACCCACACACGGAAGCAATGAACAACAATGACAAACTTCTTCACCTTTTTAAAAAAAAAAAAAAAAAAAAGGAAATAGAGCGCTGAAACCCCAACCTCAGTGTTTGTTTGTGACCCAATGTCAGTTCCCTTAACCTGTCGCTGGGTAGTACGCAAGTGCCATTACCACACCCTTCCGTCCACCGTCGTCCTTGTGGAGTCCCCTCCTCCGCACTGCCAGTAGGAACACAACAAGTTCTCATTCCCTGGCGATGTCCATGCATTCATACAGAAAGTGTCAATCCAATCTCAGGTGTTGGTTTTCCTTGCTTCTGCTTCTCCATTCAATTCTCTCGTCATAATTCCACGTGCTTTTTTGCAATTTTTTCCTTCCGCCGCAGCGTCTTCTTGTCGCCGCAAATGGTTTCAGTCCTCACCTCAGAAGGGACGTCGTTCTCTCCCTCAGCCGTTGAGAAGGCCTCCGCAAGCGCGGCGTGGCTCAAAAAATCCGTCACCAAATCTTGAATGAACCGCACGCGCACCAGATTCCACTTGTGCGCAGGCCCCAGGCAAACCGGACATGTAAACTTCCGCCTGCGTTGTCGTGTTCGTCGACGTGGCTGCTTTCTTCCATGACGGGAAAGACACGTGTGATGATCCTTTTCGCTAACGACACTCAACTCATTCTTCTCCTTCCTTCCTTCATCTTCTTTGTCTTCCACCTGTACTGTGGAAGCAACAGGAACACAGCCGTTCTCAATCCCCAAGTTAATGCAGTTGTAACAGAAGGCATGTCCACATGTGTCCACAACGGCAGGATCGTGCACCAAGGGACGGTGACATATGGGACAACACAACAATTCTCGCACCGTGGATACAACAAGGGTATTCAGCTCATCGCTCTCAAGCTGCTCCGTGACACCGACAAGGTCTGGTAGCTGTGATAGGGAGCACTGCGTGAGCTCCATTGCACCACTATCGTCTATGCTTTCTATGCCTCTAATTGGGTCGATAAAGGGATCATATAAACCCCTACATGTGCTCATTACCCATCCTCAACCACACAGACAAACACACACACGCAAAATAAATAAATAAATAAATAAAAAGGAAAGCAAGACTGATTCTACACAAAATCATGCATAAGCACGGAATCCCAGGATGGAAAAAGAAAAGAAAATTTTGTACTTCAAAACTTCCAACACAGAAACAACATATATATACAATTATTATGAGTTTCTTTTTTTTTTGTTGATTTTTTACTGCTTTTCTGTAAATAGTTTTTTTTTTTTTTTTGTTTACCATTATTGTCTTTTCTATCTTAAGCCTCTCCCCTTCCTTGTTTCTCCTCTCATTCCCAAGAGAATTTACAGCGTCCGTGCTGTGTATCTATCACTACCATAAATGCCATCTGCAAACATGATGCCTTGCAACTGCCCCGTTGTCAAACGTGGTGCTTCGTGCTTTCTGCTATCGTATGATGTAACTTGGACCCCAGTAGCAGAAGGAGAAATGGTGTCGTTGCCCCAACGACCCGTGGATTCAACATCAATGATGGAGACGCCATCATTCCAGAGACCTGAGAAGAAAACGGCAAGAAAAAGAAAAAGGCAACAGAATAAAGAAAACACAGTTGTGCTCTCATACCAGCGGTACGGCGTCCAGGAGGCAATCACGGGTGTCTCCCCGTAGCCAACGTTCGCAGAAAGAAAACGGGCTGCGGCGTTGTAATGACGGTTGCGCAGCAGTTGCTGGCGTCGTTGTTGGTAGCGCCAATTCACACCAAATACCCCAAAGAAGGATAACCATTGACTATCATCCGCAGCTGCTGAAACTTCTTCAGAATTCTCAAGACGCAACGATGGAAAATCCAAGAGGCGGGAGATGCGGTAAGGCAGACGTCCCAGGAAAACAACAACTCGACGTAATATATGACGCTCTGCGGTATCGGCACGAAACACGCTCAGTACCGACTCATTGCCGCAAAGTGGACGAACGGGCAAAGCACTATGAATCTGACGATCGGCGTCGTAATGATGATGTCGACCACCCCGTGAATAAAGAAATAAAGGGGGAGTGATATCCCTTGTTGGGGCCGGTGCCCTCCATTCATCGTCACTCTTAATCTCCCCCTCATTAGGAGCGCTCCTCCTCTTTGAGGAACTCCTGCCATCAACACCTCCATGTTCTCCTTCAAACACCTCCGTACGGGGTGGCGACGAAGAAGAGGGAGAAACAGACGACATGCTACCACCACACATGCGTGAAGAGGCGTGCTCGCGGGACGGCGTCGCGGTCCATCGCCCATTCCAGGGAGAACACAGAACGTCGTACAGGAGACTTCCCAAACCACGTGATGGTAGACGCACACTTCCACTCTCGCTATGAGAGAGAGGAGGCTGTGTCCGTTGCAGACGTTCCGCTCCACGCGGCGTCACACCCAACGCATTCTGAATGTTATCTGTCTTCCTCTGAGGACTCTGAGGGTTGTTGTCCCCAGAGACTCCCCTAAAGGTTTTCGTCTCACCTCGCCTCCGTTCCGCTTCGCATTCCTTGCGCAGGAATCTTGCATCGGTGCACCACGCCACCCCAACCACCTCTTCCTTCGTTGCAGAGCCAACACCACCTCTACTCTTTTTTAATGCAGTAGCTGTTGTGGTTACAGAGGCAGCAGCGTCTGTCGCAACCGCGGTGGCTCTATGCCCATCACCCAAAGAAATAGCCAGAGGACTTTGATATACGGCCCGAGCTGCTGAAACGGGATCCTCAAACTTTACATAAAACCAATTCTGGCCACCCGCCAAGATGGGCGTAAGGTCACCTCCGGAGGTTGCATACGCCAAGGGGTAGTAGTGTTCCACGGTCCGACCAAACATGACGTCAAGAAATTCTCGCACATCCATAATACTCCCTGGTAAGACACCGTACACCGCAACCCAGCGTTCCCCTGCATGTGAAAAAGCCTCATTATTCTTATCATCTAAATGTCTTCCATTTTCTGCTGATTCAGGCAAAAACGTTACTTTTTCATGCTGATCTTCAAACCCTTCTGGGATAAAACCAGCACGCATTGCAGGAGGCAATGACACAGAGGGTTGTTGTTGTTGTTGTCGTTGCGGTTCCTGTGGCTGCTTAGCCCAACCACGACGACCCTTTCTTTCCACCCATTGGCCAATATCCTGTTTCCACATGAATTTTGCAACACCAGTCACGATGATTAGGAAAGGGTAAAGTTTGCCCTCCCACCCTCCGCTCCCTTCTCAGTCACTTGTTCGTTATTTAAGTGTATATATTTTTTTTTACACACACGCACACACAAACAGACTTCTTTTCTTTCGTTAAAGGATAGAAGAGGCAATAACTTTACTATCTACCTTCTTCACACCCTAAGGATTGCCGTGTGTGTATAATTGCAGTAGGCTTCGGATCAAACAGGATAGAAGGAGAAGAATATTTCACACACACACACACACACACACACGCACACACGCACACACGCACACACGCATGGTAACAAGTGAGAAGGGGAGCGGAATGTCACGGAGTTCACGCATAACGGGACCCCGTTCAACAAAATTAGTAAACATCCCGTCGTTTCAGAGAGTCTCTTCTCCCTTATATTTTGTTGTTGTTGTTGTTGTTGCTTGTTTCTTCATCGTCTTCCTCTTTAAATGTCTGCAGTTTCTGCCGGTAGCCTTCCTTTTTCTGTTTTCCTCTGAAGGATCTCCGTTCGGTTGTTTGTCTCTTCTCCAAAATGAGAACAAGGGGCCATATAAACATACAGAAGGGGAAACGGAAAACAAAACGAGGGGGTAATATACATCGCTACGTTTCTCTCTTAGAAGAGCATTCAAGAAAACAACAAAAATCAGATCTCCACCTGTCACCTCGCATTTCTTCATTTTTGACACCAATGCGGTCAATGCGCATTGAACTGACTGGAACCTCCCCCCTTTATCTCTTGATATTTGCATGTGTTTCCGTATGCATCGTGTCATGTAATTATTTTTTCTTCTTTCTTTCTTTTCTTTTTTAAAGAGTCAAGGCACATCACGTGGCTGCTGCGAGTTATTTTTCACGAAGACGCCGCTGTTCATCGTTGGCCTCGTATGGAATCTTCGGTGCCAACGCATTTATAGCCTTTTGGTGCGTCATCATGGAGGACAGCTGCTCATGCCGCAGAATTTCACTTGCCAACACAACCCGTTGAGTCTTCGGCGCAACGTCGGAGAACTTGAAAAGAATACGCAACTTCTCGTACGAGGAGGGTGAACCGTCAATCCCACCATTGTTGCCGACGCTTTCTCCCGCCAGCACTGTAATGCCGGCACGCTTGTCATTCACTTCGGCATCGAAGAGTGGCTTCAAAAAACGGCGGGGTGGCTGCATCGCTGGTGGAAGCCACTGCGTCGTTGGAAACACCGGCCGTCTCCCTGAAAAGAAGGAAAGTTTCTCCTGCCGCTGCACGGCCTCACTCAAAAGAGATCCCGTCCCTACCGCACCGCCTTGCCCGATCGGTAAACCGCTGGAGCTGCACAACTGACCCGAAAATGAACGGCTCATTAGAAAAAATCGTGATGTGGGTTCTCTTGCGATTGGCGCATCTGCGGTTCCTGCATTCGCCTCTGCACGAAAGAACGTCAACTGCTGCACTCCGGGTTCCCCCGCTGCGGTGCTGTGCGACAGAAAGACAGGGATGGGCTCTGCCTCCTTCGCATGCATGTAGTTCTCCACATCATGGTGATGATTGTACTGCACCACAACATCGTTCTCAAACTCGGAAAATAAAATAGGCAACACACCAACGGTTCGAGTAATTGTCGCAGGCACGGCAGGCGACTCAAGGGCCTTTAGCGCCGCGGAGCCGCTCTTTCCCACTTGCGTCGTAAGTTTGCCCCACGATGCTCCCGATGTGAAGTCCTGCACAGATTTTTTATTGATTGTCTCCAAATTGCCGCATTCCCATTGGCGCGTGGCCGTGTTAAGAATATCGGTGCGAAGAAGATTGTGCTCAATGACAAAACCCTCGGCAAGTTCTCGCAGACGAGTTGCCAACGGGGCACATATACCCTTGGCACGATTCACCCGGCTCTCTGCATCTGCCGTCTTTTCATCTCGCCGCATCTCCTCCTGTCGTGCCTTGGTGACAGTATGGGGTGTGTATGTAGGTAACACGAGCTGACGTAGGAGAAATTCAAGCGTGGCGGATTTAATCCCCGCACTCACCGGACCCGGTGAGTACAGACCATGTACCTCCGTCAGGTGATGTTGACAGTCGACCAGCCGCAACCCGCCCAACGCAATGTCGAACATTGCCAAACCCTCACCAATCGCAAGGGATGCCACTGCCTCCATGTTGTGGCGCAGTGCCTCAAAAGGTTCCACGATGGCCAGTCCAGACTCATGAATCACACGAATGGATGTTGAGGTGGAACGCGCAAAGAGCGTTTCTAAAAATGAAGTAACGGTCCCACGCACCCCGCGGTACAAGACGCGTCGCCGCAGCACGGAGCCATCACCAAACACAATGTAAAAACTGTCACACGACTTACATCGTGGGGAGACGGGTGAAGAACGTTCCTTTACACCAGAGGCAGGTAAAGGCACGGGACTCGCCAGAAGAGATGAGGGGTGAACATCGGCTGCCCTCGCACTGCTGCATTTACTCAAAAACGAGTTATTGGGAGCCCCAAACGATAAATCCGCGCCAAATGTGCCCGGAATCGATACACCTTGCTGTTCCTCTGAGAAACTCCAATTATCACTGTACATTGGGGCGCACACAAATACACGAGGCAACGATGGAGCCTCAACGCAATACTGTACAGTGCCACCACATGCCGTGCCAACTAAACTTACATGCTCCAACAAGGGTTTCAAAGGCCTTGGCGGGTTTTCCCATGTCTCTTGGGTCGCTCGACTTGAAAAGGTCGTGATACACGTGCTATCCGCATGTAAAGTAACGCGGGCAATGACGTCTGTATCAAATGCAGGATGTTTGAAGTTACCCCACACACACGCATCATAATCATAATTATCATAAGCA